ACAAACTAAGTCTCTACAAGTTCAAGAAGATTGAAATCATATCAAGCATCTTCTCAGATCACAGTAGCATGAAACAAGAAATCAATTACAATAAAAACACTCAAAAACATTAAAACAGCCCTGGCAGGTTTGGCTCAGCAGTTAGAGTGTTGACCCATGGTCCAGAGAGACCCGGGTTCAGTTCCTGATAAGAGCACGTACCTCAGTTGCAGTTTGTTCCCAGCCCTGGCTGGGTTGTGTGGGTGGCAACCACTCGATGTGTCCCTTTCATGTCGATGTTTCTCTCTCTTTCTCTCCCTCCCACTCTCTCTGAACAAAAGAAGGAAAAATGTCCTCAGGTGAGGAAACACAAAAAACAAACAAACAAATCATTAAAACATATGGAGGCTAAATTGCATGTTATTGAGCAATGAATGGGTTACCAAGGAGATCATGGAAGAAATTAAAAACCTCCTAGAAACCAATGAATATGAACACACAACAACACAAAATCTATGGAACGTAGTGATTGCAATCCTGAGACGGAAGTCCATAGTACTACAGGCCTACCTCAAGAAAAAAGAAAAAATTCTAATAGAAACTAAAAGTATAATTCAAAAGATCAATGAAACAAAGAGCTGGTTCTTTGAAAAGATAAACAAGATTAACGGACCCTTAGCTAGACTCACGAAGAAACAAAGAGAGAGGACCCAAATAAACAAAATCAGAAATGAAACAGGAGAAGTAACAACAGACACCACAGAAATATAATAAATTGTTAGAAAATACTATAAACAATCATACACCAACATATTGGACAAAACAGATGAAATGGACAAATTTCTAGAATCACGCAGTCACCCAAAACTGAACTGGGAAGAGACAGAAAACATGCACAGACCAATAACAACTCAGGCCTAGAAGGCCTCATGGGGGAGTTTTACTGAACATTCAAAGAACTAACACTGCCCTGGCCAGTTTGGCTCAGCGGTTAGAGTGTCGGCCTGTGGTCCGGAGAGACCCGGGTTCGGTTCCCGCTAAGGGCACATACTTCGGTTGCAGTTTGTCCCCGGCCCTGGTTGGTTGTGCGGGTGGCAGCCACTCGATGTGTCCCTTCATGTCGATGTTTTTCACTCTCTCTCCCTTCCTCTCTCTCCCTCCCATTCTATCTGTACAAAAAATGGAAAAATATCCTCGGGTGAGGATTAAAAAAAAAAAAAAAAAAAAGAACTAACACCAATTCTCTTCAAACTATTCCAAAAAATTCAAGAAGAAGGAAGACTTCCAAACATGTTTGATGAGGCCAGCATCATTCTAATTCCAAAACCAGAAAAAGACACCACAAAGAAAGAAAACTACAGGCCAATATCCCTGATGGACATAAATGCCAAAATCCTGAACAAAAAATACTAGCAAATCAGATCCAGCAATACATAAAAAAAAAATTATTCACCATGACCAAGTGGTATTCATCCATACAAGGCTGGTAAAATAGTCACAAATAAGTAAATGTGATAAACCACATAAACAAAATATAAGATAAGAACCATATGATTAGCCCCGGCTGGTTTGGCACAGCAGTTAGAGCGTCAACCCGCAGAGCAGAGAGTCCTGGATTTGGTTTCTGCTAAAGGCATGTTCCTCAGGTGCAGTTTGTCCCCGGCCCCAGTTGCAGTCGTGTGGGTGGCGACCAGTCGATGTGTCTCTCTCATGTCGATGTTTCTCTCTCTCTCTCTTAACCCCTCTTTCCCTCCCGCTCTATCTGAAGATAAATGCAAAAGTGTCATCAGGTGAGGATAAAAAACAAACAAGCAAAAAAACCCCCAAAAAACAAAAAACAAAATCATATGATCATATCAATAGATGCTGAAAAAGCATTTGACAAAAATCAAGTACCCATTTCTGATAAAAACGCTCAGCAATATGGGAATAGAGGGATCATATCTCAACATAATAAAGGCCATATATGAAAAACCTACAGCCAACATCATACTCAATGGGCACCAATATGCCCACTTTTGCCACTCAGATTTAACATAGTACTGGAAGTCTTAGCCACAGCAATCAGATATGAAGAAAAAGTAAAAGGAATCCAAATTGGAAAGGAGGAAGTGAAACTGTCATTATTGGCAGATGACATGATATTACTGTATATAGAAAACCCTAAAGTCTCCATTCAAAATCTACGGGATTTAATAAATGATTTTGGCAAAGTAGCAGGATACAAAATTAACGTCAATAAATCAATGACATTGTTATGCACCAATGATGAACTCACAGAAAGAGAAACTAAAAACACAATCCCATTTACCATTGCCACAAAAAATATTAAGATACCTAAGAATAAATTTAACCAAAGAAATAAAGGACCTATTTGCAGAAAACTACAGGGCACTGAAAAAGAAATAGAGGAAGATATATAAAAGTGGAAGTATATACCTTATTCCTAAATTGGAATAATTAATATCATTAAAATGTCCATAATACTCAAAACAATATATCAATTCAATGCAACCCTCATCAAAATACCAATAACATATTTTACAGAACTAGAATAAATACTTCCAAAGTTTATACGGAACCAAAAATGACCTTGAATAGCTCCAGCAATCTTGAAAAAGAAGGACAACGTAAGAGGTTATAACCTGGATATGAGGTTATACTACAAAGCCATTGTAATCAAAACAGCCTGGTAATGGCACAAGGACAGGCATATAGGTCAATGGAATAGAATAGAGAACCCAGAAATTGACCCAAGACATTACGCTCAATTAATATTCGACAAAGGTGGCAAGAGCATACAATGCAGTAGACAGCCTCTTTAATAAATGGTGTTGGGAAAATTGGACACCAATATGCAAAAAAATGAAGCTAGACCATCAACTTAACACAAGAATAAACTCAAGATGGATAAAAGACTTAAATGTGTTTTGTGAATCCATAAAAGTCCTAGAAGAGAAGGTAGGCAATGAAATTTCAGACATCATATGCAGCAGAATTTTTACTGACACAATGCCTAAGGCAAAAGAACAAAGGAAAAAATGAACACTGGGACTACATCAAACTCAAAAGCTTCTGCACAGCAAAAGAAACAACCATCAAAATGGAAAGGCGACCCACTATAAGGGAGAACATCATTGCCAACGATACATCAGATAAGGGGCTAATTTCCAAATATATAGAGCGCTCATACAACTCAACAAAAGAAAGACAAAGAACCCAACTGAAAAATGGGCAAAGGACCTATTAGATACTTCTCCAAACAGGACATACAAATGGCCAAGAGACAAGAAAATAATGCTCAACATCACCAATCATCAGAGAGATGCAAAATAAAACAACAATGAGGTATCACCTCACACCTGTCAGAATGGCCGCCATCAACAAATCATCAAACAAGTGTTGCTGAGGGTGTGGAGGAAAGGGGACTCTAGTACACTGCTGGTAGGAATGCAGACTGGTGCAACCACTGTGGAAAACACTATGGTGTTACCTCAAAAAATTAAAAATTGAACTGCCATATGACCCAGTGATCCCACTTCTAGGAATATAACCTAAGAAACCTGAAACACCAACCAGAAAGAATACATGTACCCCCATGTTTGTAGCAGCACTATTTACAATAGCTAAGATCTGGAAACAGCCCAAGTGTCCATCAGTAGACGAATGGATAAAAAAGTGTGATACATATACACAATGGAGTACTATGCATTTGTAAGAAAGATCTCTTATCCTTTGAGATGACAGGATAATGGGGAGGAGAGTGTAAATGGGGAAAAAGGGAGAAATATCTGTAATACATTCAATAAAGATGAGTTTTTAAAAAAATGGGCAGAGGACTTAGACAGACACCTCTCCTAACAGGACATACAAATGGCCAAGAGACATATTAAAAAAATAAAAGCTGAACATCAATAATCATCAGATAGATGAAAATTAAAACAACAATGAGGTATTACCTCACACATGCCATAATGAACACCATCAATTGAACTGCCTTGTGACCCAGTAATCCGCTTCTGGGAATATATCCTAAGGCTACCATAACATCAATCAGAAAGAATATATGCACCCATATTGTTCACAGCAGCACTATTTACAATAGCTAAGATCTGGGAACATCCCTAGTGTCCATCAGTAGATAAGTGGATTAAAAAGCTGTGGTACATATACACAATTTAATACTATGCAGCTGTAAGAAAGAAAGATCTCTTATTTTTTGAGATGGCACGGAAGGACCTGGGGAGTATTATGCTAAGTGAAACAAGCCAAGCAGAGAAAGACAAATATCACATGTTCTCACTTATTTGTGGAATATAATGAACTAAACAAACTGCTGAGCAAAATTAACCCAGAGACATAGAGGTGGGGTACAGACTGACAAGCTTCAGAGGAGGGGGTTTGTGGGGGAAGAGATAAACCACAAAACTTACATGCATGTATGCATGACCAATGAACATAGACAACAAAGCTGGGGATAGAAGGTGTCTCATCACCTTCCCTCTGAGACCTGTCCTTGTGTTCCATGCATCTCTGTTTCTGGATCTCATTTATACAACAAAGTGGGGGGGAAGGGGAGGAAGGTGTCAATGGGGGAAAAATGAGAAACATCTGTAACAAAAATAAATTAATAAATAAAAAATTAAAAAAGGAAAAGTTTCTGCCCAAGCTTTTATTCTGTCTTTGCCATGACTTCAGTGCATATTCTCTCTCCTTAACTTAAAAACAAACATTTATATGATGTTTTATAACCCGTGAAGTCCTGTCACATTTATTACCTCATTCAGTCCCCCTATCACTGGCATGAAGGCAGCATTATCCTCCCCACATTATAGAGAAGAACACTGAGACTTAGCTAGGTTTTGGAAGAACCCCCTTTGCTGACTTCAGGAAAGCATTTCTTTCTTGGTGAAGGTCAAGTGGTAGTTTTCAGCATTGCACATTACTGTTACCTTCTCATAGACCTTATGTTGTCTACCTTCCAGTTCCAACTCTGGGTGATTTGAAAATTGACCCTTTACCTTTACATTTCTCCAAGGGGTATGTGAAAAATTCTGACTTAGATTCAGGGGTGTATCCAGAGTTGCAGGTACAGTGGGTGGCATTGACACAGAAAGCATTCTGGGGGCAGTCTCGACAGGTACCTGCAGGAAGAAGAGAGGCAGATTAGATGCCACCTGGGTCAAAAACTCTCCAGTTATCATTTGGCTTTGCCTCTGAACAGGGCCGCTTGAGGCTGAGGAAGCTTACACCTTTTCCCTTTTGTCAGATCTCAGTACAGTAAAAAAAAAAAAAAAAAAAATATATATATATATATATATATATATATATATATATATATATGATTTATATACCTTACAAAGTGATCACTCCGATGTCTGGTACCCACCTGACACCATACATGGTTACTACAATATTGTTGACTATATTTCCTATGTTGTACTTTACATCCCTGAGACGTTTTCCTTTCAATTTTATATTTAAAAAAATGCTCGAACGTCAACCCATGCAGCAAAAGGTCTCAAGTTTGATTCCTGGTTGGGGGACATGCCCAGGTTGTGGGCCCAATCCCCAGTGAGGGGCATGCAGGAAGCGGCCAATTGGATGTTCTCACTTATTGATATTTCGATTTCTTTCTCTTTAAAATCAATTAAAATATTAAAATATTTATTATCATTATTAATTTTTTAAAACTCATTTTCTATTGTTGATAGTATTACAGATTTCCCCCATTTTTCCTTCCCTTTGCTTGCCACCACCCAACCACCACCCCACCCCATGTCTGTGTCCATGAGCTATGCACATATGCATGTAAGTTCTATGGTTAATTTCTTCCTGTCTTATCACCTTCCCTCTGAGATCTGTCCATGTGTTCCATGCATCCCTGTTTCTGGACCTCATTTGTTCATCAGTTTATTTTGCTCATTAGATTCTACATATAAGTGAGATAATGTAATATTTGTCTTACTCTGACTAGTTTATTTTGTTTAGTATAATAATCCAGGTCCATCCATGCTGTTGCAAATGGTAAGCAATTCTTCTGTTTTACAGCTGTGGAAAAACCCATTGTGTAAATTTACAACAATTTTATCCACTCATCTACTGATGGGCACTTGGACTGTTTCCAGATCTTAGCTATTATAAATAATGCTACTGTGAACAATAGGGGTGCATATATTCTTTCTGATTGATGTTATGGTAGCCTTAGGATATATTCCCAGAAGCGGATTACTGGGTCACAAGGCAGTTCAATTGATGGTGTTCATTCTGGAATGTGTGAGGTAATACCTCATTGTTGTTTTAATTTTCATCTATCTGATGATTATTGATGTTCAGCTTTTATTTTTTTAATATGTCTCTTGGCCATTTGTATGTCCTGTTAGGAGAGGTGTCTGTCTAAGTCCTCTGCCCATTTTTTTAAAAACTCATCTTTATTGAATGTATTACAGATATTTCTCCCTTTTTCCCCATTTACACTCTCCTCCCCATTATCCTGTCATCTCAAAGGATAAGAGATCTTTCTTACAAATGCATAGTACTCCATTGTGTATATGTATCACACTTTTTTATCCATTCGTCTACTGATGGACACTTGGGCTGTTTCCAGATCTTAGCTATTGTAAATAGTGCTGCTACAAACATGGGGGTACATGTATTCTTTCTGGTTGGTGTTTCAGGTTTCTTAGGTTATATTCCTAGAAGTGGGATCACTGGGTCAAATGGAAGTTCAATTTTTAATTTTTTGAGGTAACACCATATTGTTTTCCATAGCGGCTGCACCAGTCTGCATTCCCACCAGCAGTGTACTAGAGTCCCCTTTTCTCCACACCCTCGCCAACACTTGTTGTTTGATGATTTGTTGATGGCGGCCATTCTGACAGGTGTGAGGTGATACCTCATTGTTGTTTTAATTTGCATCTCTCTGATGATTAGTGATGAGCATTTCTTCGTATGTCTTTTGGCCATTTGTATGTCCTGTTTGGAGAGGTGTCTATTCAGCTCCTCTGCCCATTTTTCAATTGGATTCTTTGTCTTCCTTTAGTTGAGTTGTACGAGTACTCTATATATTTTGGAAATTAACCCGTTATCTGATGTATCATTGGCAATGATGTTCTTCCATACAGTGGGTTGCCTTTCCATTTTGATGGTTGTTTCTTGTGTTGTGCAGAAGCTTTTTAGTTTGATGAAGTCCCATCTGTTCATTTTTTTTGTTTGTTTCTGTTGCCTTAGGTGATGTATCAGTGAAAATTCTGCTGCGTATATGTCCGAAATTTTGTTGCCTACATTTTCTTCTAGGATTTTTATGAATTCACAGGTCACATTTAAGTCTTTTATCCATTTTGAGTTTCTTCTTGTGTAGGGTATAAGTTGATGGTCTAGTTTTATTTTTTTTGCATGTAGCTGTCCAATTTTCCCAACACCATTTATTAAAGAGGCTGTCTTTACTCCATTGTATGCTCTTGCCTCCTTTGTCAAATATTAATTGAGCATATTGTCTTGGGTCCATTTCTGGGTTCTCTGTTCTGTTCCACTGGTCTATATGCCTGTTCTTGTGCCAGTACCAGGCTGTTTTGATTACAGTCGCTTTGTAGTATAACCTGATACCTGGTATTGTGATCCCTCCCACTTTATCCTTCTTTTTCAAGATTGCTGTGGCTATCTGGGGTCTTATTTGGTTTTATATGAACTCTTGAAATATTTATTCCAGTTCTTTGAAGTATGTCATGGTATTTTGATGGAGATCGCATTGAATCTATAGATTGCTTGTGGTGGTATGGACATTTTAATGATGTTAATTCTTCCAATCCACGAACAAGGTATGTGCTTCCACTTTTTTATATCTCCCTCTATTTCTTTTTTCAATGATCTGTAGTTTTCTGAAAATAGGTCCTTTATTTCTTTGGTTAAGTTTATTCCTAGGTATCAATTTTTTTTTGCCGTGATGGTAAAAGGGATTGTTTTTTTAGTTTCTCTTTCTGTGAGTTCGGCATTGGTTTATGAGAATGCCATCAATTCTTATTTTATATCCTGCTACTTTGCCAAATTCATTTATTAAGTCTAGTAGATTCTTGTTGGAGTCTTTAGTGTTTTCTATGTATAATATCATGTCATCTGCAAATAATGACAGTTTCATTTCCTCCTTTCCAGTTTGGACCCCTTTTATTTTTTCTTTCTGTTTGATTGCTGTAGCCAAGACTTCCAGTGCCATGTTAAATAAGAGTGGTGAAAGTGGGCATCCCTGTTTTTGTTTTTAAGGGAAATGCTTTATTTTCTGCCCATTGAGTATGATATTGGCTGTAGGTCTTTCATATATGGCCTTTATTATGTTGAGATATGATCCCTCTATTCCCACATTGTTGAGTGTTTTTATCAGAAATGGATGCTGGATTTTGTCGAATGCCTTTTCAGCGTCTATTGATGTGATCATGTGGTTTTTATTCTTCATCTTATTTATGTGGTGTATCACATTTATTGATTTGCGAATATTGTGTCAGCCTTGGATCCCTGGAATGAATCCCACTTTGTCATGGGGAATAATTTTTTTGATATATTGCTGAATTTGATTTCCTAGTATTTTGTTAAGGATTTTGGCATCTGTGTTCATCAAGGATATTGGCCTATATTTTTCTTTCTTTGTAGTGTCTTTAACTGGTTTTAGAATTAGGATTATAGTGGCCTCATAAAATGAGTTTAGAAGTGTTCTGTCTTCTTGGACCTTTTGGAATAGTTAAAGGAGAATGGGTATTAGATCTTCTTTGAATGTTTGGTAAAATTCTGGGCCTGGGCTTTTGTTTGCTGGAAGTTTCTTGATTACATCTTCAATTTTCTTTGTCTTTATTGGTCTATTTAAGTGTTCAATCTCTTCCTGGTTCAGTTTTGGGAGGCTGTGTGTCTCTAGAAATTTGTCCATGTCTCCTAGATTGTCCAATTTGTTGGTGTATAATTGTTCATAGTATGTTTCGATGATCCTTTGTATTTCTGTGGTGTCAGTTGTTACCTCTCCGCTTTAGTTTCTGATTTTATTTATTTGGTTTCTCTCTTTTTGTTTTTGGTGAGTCTGGCTAAAGGTCCATTGATCTTGTTTATTTTTTCAAAGAATCAGCTTTTTGTTTCATTGATGTTTTGAATTGATTATTTTTAAGTCTCTATGATGTTTATTTCTGCTCTGACCCTTACTATTTCTTTCCTCCTACTAGCTCTGGGTTTTTCTTTTTGTTTACTCTCTAGTTCTTTAAGTTGTAGCGTTAGAAAATGGGCAAGGACCTAAATAGACACCTCTTCAAAAAAGACATACACATGGCCAAGAGACATATGAAGAAATGCTCCACATAACTAATCATCAGAGAGATGCAAATTAAAACAACTATGTAGTATCACCTCACACCTGCCAGAATGGCCGCCATCAACAAATCATCAAACAACAAGTGTTCGCGAGGGTGTGGAGGAAAGGGGACTCCAGTACACTGCTGGTGGGATTGCAGACTTTTGCAGCCACTGTGAAAAGCACTATGGTGTTACCTCAAAAAGTTAAAAATTGAACTGCCATTTGACCCAGTGACCCCACTTTCAGGAATATACCTTAAGAAGCCTGAAACATCAATCAGAAAGAATATATGTACCCCTATGTTCATAGCAGCACTATTTACAATAGCTAAGATCTGGAAACTACCCAAGTGTTTATCAGTAGATGAGTGGATTAAAAAGCTGAGGTACATGTACACAATGGAATACTATGCAGCTGTATGAAAGAAAGATCTCTTATCCTTTGAGATGGCATGAAAGGACCTGGAGAGTATTATGGTAGGTCAAACAAGCCAAGCAGAGAAATAGATATGTCACATGATCTCCCTTATTTGTGGAATATAATAAACTAAACAAGCTGCTGAGCAAAATTAACCCAGAGACATAGAAGTGGGGTACAGACTGACAAGCCTTAGAGGAGGGGGTTTATAGGGGAAGAGATAAACCACAAAACTTACATGCATGTATGCATGACCAATGAACATAGACAATAAAGCTGGGGATGGTGGGGGGAGAAGGGTGTCAATGGGGAAAAAATGAGAAACATTTGTAACATAAATAAATTAGCCCTGGCCGGTTTGGCTCAGTCTTGGAGCATTGGCCTGTGGTTCGGAGAGACCTG